ACTGGTCAAACGGTTCAAACATGGTGTGTATTTTGGCCACTGTGGTCGGTACACCAAAAGCTTCCTGCGCTTCCACGTATATACACATAAAGTAAGACGTGGCTCACTAGCTCTTAGGAACTAATGAATAAAATATAGGCCCATAAAGGCAGCATGAACAATGGAAATATTATCCTCTGTTGCATAAATGCACAGCCGACCACAAAGTATTCTCACAGGGAGCTCGTTCCTCTTATCTCTGACGGCTCGTCGGCGATGGCCGGCCGCTGCATGTGGAGACACAGACCGCTAACGAGGGGGAAATCCCCCCCCCCACACCCATCACCCAAGATTGATGTAGAAAATTTAGCCAGCAGACATTCCTCCGGGCCGAAATGAAAGAGGTGCCTGGTTCACCAGCATTCCTGATTGGCCGCACATTCTTTTGCCATTCTAACAACAGTGTGATTGCTGGCATGGAGCCGCGGCTTCGTGAGGTAAACAACCATAATATTTCTATTTCCTAAGTAGTCCTCTGGTGAAGGTCCATTAAAAGGCCTGATATTGATCAGAAAAAAGATTATGAGAGGTGAAGGAACAACATCCTTCCTTTCTACATCAGGACTACTGAAGTACCTCTGGGCAAGGAGTTAAACAAGCAACTCATGAAAATTGAATAATTTACATTTACATTTATTCATGTAGCTGACGCTTTTATCCAAAGCGACTTACAATTGCTATGCATGTCAGAGGTCTCACGCCTCTGGAGCAACTAGGGGTTAAGTGTCTTGCTCAGGGACACAATGGTGGATGTAAGGAGGCAAGCATCTTATCTATGCGCCATCACCAATTTAAGGACTATAAAATGGTTTGTTTACCATCTCCACAGAAGAAAATGAATAAAATAAGGAAATATACAAGAAAAATAAATGATAATAAATTTTAAAAAAATAGGAAAGGGCAGACATAGGGAAAGCCAGAAACCATGAGCAAAAGGCAAAAAAAAAAAAGAAATCAAGGAAAGACATTCCACACAGACTGATGAAAAAGGCACAGCAAATAATCAAATTAAAAGCATATTATATTTTAGACGTCTCTAACCCCCTTGTCAACCTTAAAAATGGGGATGGGGATGTACCTTCAAGAAATCTGTCCTGTTACAGAAGGCAAACTGCTGCGCTAGGCCTGGCTTCTGCAGCATGACTCCTAATACTGACATTAATTATTAATTTGATGCATTCATCACTCTTCCGACCAGCCGTCGATAACCTCCATTATGGCGTGTGTATACATTACAGAGTGTATAGTGTGTCAGAAACTTCCCGCATACGAGCCACTGGATGGCGGGAAGAGAGGAAGGAAGAAAGAGAGAGAGACCGAGAGAAAGAAAGGGTGATGGACAGGAGTGACAGCAGAAAGCATTAGCATGAGGGGGCCGAATCATGATATCAGAGCTAGATATTTGACAGAGCGAAAGAACTAGAGTCGTTAGGACAATGGCAATTTGACAGGTAATACAAACTGCACATTGGTGATAAAGTTTGAAGAGGTTACACAAAGTTACACAGCTCTGTAAGGTCTGTTTCTGGTCTTCCGCTCGTTTGAACAACCGTGCACCGAGCTCAATTGGTTTCAGTTCATTTAGGTTAACAAGTAGATGCTGACAGAAACATAACCAAAATACTTCAGGTATGAGGGTCATTTATTGTTACCTTAGAATGAGCCATTTTTATCTACAGCTCATCATGCTGCTGCTTGTATAATTACATTTATTACATTACATTTATTCATTTAGCTGACGATTTTATCCAAAGCGACTTACGATTATTTGTGTCAGAAGTCTCTGGAGCAACTTGAGGTTAAGTGTCTTGCTCAGCGACACATTGGTGGATGGGTCACAGTGGGGGATTGAACCCTGGTCTTTCACAGAGCCACAGCCTCCCCGTTATATATGTTTTAGTTTTTCCTGTTCCCTTGTAGTGTCAGAAAGTTGTTAACAAGATCACCGATCCAGCTGGAACCAAAGTCAAGCTGTGGTTGCATGGGGATACATAAGCCGCTTTTCAACCAAAGGTACTGGGGACCTTTAAGTCCCCAGATCTCTTTTCAAGAAACTAAAAGGTTCCTTCAGCGTCTCCACCGTGGTCTAAAGACCTGCGAAGATTAAGCAAATTAACCAGCTGATATAGGCTGTAGCCATACAAAGCGATCATTATTTGTAACCACTATCCATGAGCAACATTTATAAATGAACATCAGATTTGACTGGAATATAATGAAAAACTATAGGCTTTGCTTGACCATTAAAGCAGCTTTTTTGTGTGGGAGCTATAATGAAGAGACACACGATAAAGTTTGTTACACATTTAATAACAAACTGGATAAACCCATCAAGTTCTTCAAATAACTCCAGCACAGAGAAAGCAACACAAAAATGAAATCGGGACAGTTTGGAAGGTTATTAAAACATTTCCAGCCGACAAAAGCTGTAGATCAGCTGCAGCACTCACGTCTGTGTTGCCTGAGTAACGTGATGTTTAACGAGCTTTATTTTACCTGCTGTAATCAGCTGTTCCGCTTGTTTCGGAGAGGAGGACACAGACTTCGTCTCTGTGTAAAATCCTCCTGACTGAAACTTAAAACAACAACTCCGGACCCAGTATTTAGCGTAAACACACCGCTGCACGCTGGCTGCTACTTCCAATATATTTAATGCCAACATACGATCTCAGGCGGACATCGGCGAGACCTGTGTGCTATTTGACTGTTGATTGTGATTTATTGGTTTGCAAACAAAGGTGGAAAAGAGACAAGCAGTCGTAGAAAAACAGCTGACATTCTCCAGTTAAAGCCAGCAGCCTCTACTCGCCCATTCAGAATTTCACTGCAAGGCAAGCCCCGCCCCCCAAAGTACCGGTACTTTCAGAAAGTACTACCTCCTGAGCAGTGACTTTTTGGGGGTAAAATGAAGACCCCATAACTATATTTAGACCCTGGTCCCTCCGGTGGAAAAACAGTGACTTCCTCCAAAGGTTCCTAGTTAATTATATAGTTCCTTTGGTCGAAACGCAGCTCTAGAATTTTAAGGCAGTTGAGCGGGGGCAGTACAGGTGTCAGATGGGTGTAAGTTCTGTAACTTACCATTGTGTCTCATTGTGTCTCCCGAAGGTGAGACAGGTGGTCAGTAGGTGGAGTTTGGCCACATTTAATTACAGATTCACAAAAAAGCTATAGATTAACATTTCTTTAAGAACCTGGAGGTTTCTCCCTGCCTTTCAATACAGCAGCAACATTGCAGGATCTCTATATTTTGACGCCCAGTGGGGTCATGAGTGAGTGTGGCCTGTCTCTCTCTCTCGTGAAGGAGGAGCTGATTGCAGTGGCTCTGGGCACCTAGGCTAATTGCCCTGTAGAGTATTTGGGACTGTCTTCTCATTCTGCAAAGAGGCTGCTGTCGAGGCCTGGTCAGACCTCCCTGCGGGCTGGCTCCATGGGTTCCCCATTTAGTTTGCTTGGACTTTTGCGTTGTGGTATTTATCTTGTTTTGCAAACTATAACACCTTCACACATACACTCATGCAACCATCATCCTGCACAGACACTACTGAAACCATAGACTACATACCTCATACTTTAATGTTAGTTTGAAATACTTCTTAAATTTGGTTAACTTTGGTTTAAAACAACATATTTTGTTAAACTTATACCATGGTGTGTCTCCCTTTTGTTGTGGCCTTTTGAGCCAGGTCATAATAAAATGTTGTTGTTGTTAATAATAATAATAATAAAATAAATTATAATTACCAGTTTTATCACAATGTATTCAAATTACCTGCTGATTGTTATTTATTTATCTCTGTCCAGTGTGCATTAAAACATTACATTACTGCTTATTAAACTGTTAAGCCAGTAGACATTAAACAGAGTGAGTACATTAACATTTAAGACAGACAATTTAAGAACTGGCTTGTCCTGGCGACAACCAAGCCAGCCTGAGGTGAACAAAGTTTATTTGGGTTAGAATGGCATTGAGAACCTCAACAAGCTCATTAATTTTCTCTCATTAAGCTCCAACAATGTCTCTAAACTTTGAAAGTTAATGTGCATTAAATTAATGCATTGTGAGAGCACCATGCTGGACAGAGAGAGTGGCTCTGATCACAGAGAGCCAAAAAGTGACGTACTGACATCTTTAACAGCTAATGAAGAGATGAAGTCACATAGCCTCGATACGCTAATGAGAAGCTAATGGACGGTGGAGCTGATGACTGCCAAGTCGGCCTCTAGAGTAAACACCAGGGGCAAGGAACCATCACTTTGTTGTACACACACACGCGCACGTACACACACACTATCACAGAGGTGCTAAACGCAGTTCCACCCTCCCATACGTCAAACTTAAACAAAGGGCGAGACAAAAGCTTAACGGCTTCTTTGTTTTGAAATCAGCTTTACTCCGACCTGAACTACAGCACATACACACACAGTGTTTCTGTAAAAGCTTTTAACTGTAAACTAATGTGACTTTGGGCATGTGTGTGTTCAACTGGGTGTGAGCTCACAGCTAATCATCTAAAGGGAGAGGAAGTCCATAAATCAGCAGAATACAACTCTCACACTGTAAATCTACACTAACACGTCATCACTGTGTGTCTGTGTGTGTGTGTGTGTGTGTGAGTGAGAGAGAGTGTGAGAGTGAGATTTACTCTCTAAGGTAGAAAATGTACTTCAAGATTTGGACAAATAAAAGTTCAATCTAAGTATTATCCGCCGCTTAGGTTGCAGTGGCAGCAGACGAATGAAGGCTGCCTAGTTTCTTCTCCACAGTAATGTCCTCCAGAGACCCCTGGGGGTTCCTGAGTTATTATCAGGCCAGATGGGATACATAGCCACCTGCATGTCCTCAGTTTGCCCTTGGATGCTTGGATCCCATCTCAACTCAACAACTTCACCTGGCTCTTATCCATAAAAAGTTTCTACCTTAAGATACTTCCAGAAACCACATCAGACGAGCTTTTCCTTCCAATCAGCCATCATTACCCATGTGAGCACCCCAGTCTCCCAGCAGAACTATGTGACTCTGTGTGTGTGTGTCTGACCTGGCTATAAGTGGCGTCCAGCAATGTGTCCAGGTTCTGAAGGGGTGCCGGGGTTTTGTCTTTGAATCGAGTCAGCAGGCGACGCTGGATGGCTCTGAATTGGACAGCCCGCTCTGACAGCAGATCCTGGTACTGCTGACCACTGACACGCAGCTAACACACACACACAAACAAACACACACCCAAAACAAAAGGGAGACAAGAAGACATATTATTTATTTGGAAGTGATTGTTTAGGTCATTCTTAAGGTCAACTGAGAGATCAACTACAACTGGTATCGATATCCTTTTGTAAGGATAGTTGACTGTATTTAATGTTAACTTTTTTTTCCTCTGGTATTTGTGGATTTGCAGTCCTGTTTGCTGCTTGACTTCAATTTATCATGTCGTGCGTGCGTGCGTGCGTGCGTGCGTGTGTGTGTGTGTGTACCTGGAAGTGGTGGTCCAGAGACAGGAAGTACTCCTGCAGCGGTAGCGGCCCACTGAAGCTTTTCTTGAAGTCTTTGACTCCCAGTTTGGAGAAATGCCGGTCGAATCTCTGGACCAACTCTTTCACCACCAACCACATGTCCTCAAAACTGTCACTCTGAATACGGTAACGCTCTGACAAGACAAACAAACAGATCGATAGAGACACTTCCACAGGGGCTGGGTACAGTAACGTTACAAGACATACGAATGAAAATTAAATTTAAAAAGCTATTTTAAAAAGTAAAGAGTACAGCCAATTTAATAATCAGCATTGAGTTGTTGCAAAAATGCATTCAAAGACAACAAAAGAGACTAAATGTACAAATAGGAAATTAAATACTAACAAAGGGTATGTGTGACACCAAGAGATAATGAAAGATATCAAAAGGTTCCTAGGTGCTAGACGGGGAAATGAAGGGATCAAGGTTAAAAGCAGTTTTAGAGTCATAATGAAATGTATCACAAGGTTCTGAAAGGTGTCAACATGTGAAATTAAGATACATCTTAGGTCTTATGAAGTGAAGTATTGCAAAGAGACATAGCAAGAGGTCAAGGGATACATCAACTGTTATAGACACCATTTGAGAATGGCATCTGGGAAAATGTTTACAGCCCTGAAGCAGTACTGTATTAGAGATAGATGATCCCCCTCATATATGTAAACCAGTTTTCCTGAAGGTAAACTAGTGTTATGAAAATCCTGTTCATCATGTAGTGCTGCGGTCAGACTCACGGGAGGTCTTAGAAGCCAGCACAGTAACCTTGGCTCCTGACAGGAACTGGAAAGCCAAACTATTCCCATCCTTATCTGCTGATTTTGCTGAAAACTCTGCAGAGCGAGAGACAGAGAGAAAGACAGGCAGCCGTGTGATGAGACAGATAGGACGGCCTATCATGATGCAAGACGCCAACAAAGGTGAACAAGATACAGTCACAATGTTCACAAAGACGCACAGTATAAGCAGGCATGAGCTTACACAAATCCCTCTTTACACAAAAAGCACACAATGATGGACACTGAGTGTGTGTTTAGACGTCAGAGCTGCTGATTGCAGCCGATTGTCAGATAACTGAGAAATTGAACTCTTAGGGCTGAAACACACACACACACACACAGAATCACAAATAAATAAACACGCATAAACACACTCGTATAAATACACAACCCACACACACAAATACACAATAGTTGATTACTCATGTAAATGTATGCACACGCACAGCTACACATGTCTCATTCCCTCCCCTCGCTTTCCGTTGCTCATGTCATTTGGATTTGTGTAACGCCCTCCGGTGGCCACTTCATTGGTCCTCAGTTGTTAAGCAACAATAGCTGTACGACCTATCAGTATCCATCTCAGATGAACTGAACAGACATGTATTATAATGCCAGTGTGAAAAAACAGATTCCTCACTGATACTTTATCTGACTATAACGGACTGCATTTATACAGCACTTTTATCCAAAGCAATGCACAGTTTGCATCTCATTCACCCATTCACTCATTCACACACACACACAGTTTAGTGTTTTGACACTTAAACATGTGGAAAGAAGGAGCTGGGGATCGAACCGCAAATCCTGCAATTAGTGGCTAACCCACTCTACCTGCTGAGCCCCAACCCCCCTTAATGTGAATCTGCTGTGCTCCACACCAGGAATTTAACCTGTGCTAAATCACAGTTCAAAACTGCAGGTCACGTCACACTCTTGGGCCCAGAGAGAATCTACCCCACAGCAAACCATTAAAAAAAATATACAGCTGTCAAGCAACAAAGCAAATGTATTTCTAATAGGTGCTTGTTCATTTTGAAGGTTCAACAAAATCAAATAATTGCCTTTCCTGTGACTTTAACATTGTATGGATGGAGGCACTGTTCCACTAACTAAAATATGTGCAAAAACTGCAATAAACTGTAGCCAGAGATTTTGGGGCAATTCAATTAACCCCTCCAATCACATGCTGGTCAGTACTGGCAGCTTTAAGATGGATCAGGGGTGTGCATTCACTGTTCAGTTTACAAAAACACTGCTAACATCATACAGCTGTCTCCGCTGCCAAAGCCTTGAACAAAGCAATGTGTTTTGAGTCATAGAAAATGTGTGATTCAAATGCAGAACATTGGCTGTTTGGAGAACTGACACCAGCATCGGCATGTGTAAGTGTTTTTGTTGTGTTTGGATGTGTATGACCTGGGAAGATGGAGTTGAGGTCCACTGGTGGCTGGTTGGTGTCCACAGTGATCTTAAACTTGGTTGTTTTGGCTGGAGAGGAAGGAACACACACCAATGCCAGAGGAAGACTGAACCTGGACTGAAGAACCCTGGGAACTCCTGAGAAAAGCAAAATATAGCAAAATATAGCAAAATTGAAAAATCATTTTTTATGTTGCGTTTTCTCCACAATTTAGTGCTTTCCATCTTCCATTTTGTAGCAATGCCACTGAGCTGCCAAGGGTGTTTACTCCTATTTGTTAAGGTTAAGTGTTTATTTGCAAATTAAAACCAAAAAAGTTTAATTTCTTCATTACTTTGATTTATTTTGGTTAACAGAGAAGAACAATAAAAAGCCCACTTCCCCTCTGAGTGGCACCCTTCTCCGACAAACTCCCCTACGGCGAATGAAACGAGGTCGGCACATCGCTTTATGGGCTTTCTCTCCAAACAGCAGTCAGGTTAACATTTGTTAACACAGTCAACACTGCAGATATTCAGATTACACAAGTATGTGAGAGCTACGAGATCTAGAGACTCAACATCAACACCAGGTTTGGAAGGGTGTTTGTCGAAGAGCCGAAAAGGAAGTTTTTTGAAAAGTGGGGGGAAATTCTGAGAGGAAAAAAAGAGGAGTTAAGGCCAACTACAACTATGTCCTGATCTTAAGCAGTGCTGAGCTTGGCAGAAATCTACACTTAGCTAGAATAACAGAGCAAGGGAAAGGACAGATGGAGGAAAACAGTTGTTAAGAAGAGATGGAGCGAGGGAACCAGGGGACAGGAGGAGAGCTAACGACAGGAGTGGGAGAAAACCTGAGTCGAGCAGAAATAAAGCAGCGTGAGAGAGACTGAAAGAGTAATAATAAGACAATCGACAGCCGTGGTGGGAGGGAGGGACAGTTTAATCATGGAATGTTCCAGGTTATTACAGATAGTAATAATTACCTTCAACTACTGTGCACCTTTTCATTCCATACAGTACATGCAATTATTATGTGATTATATGAATAATTCAATTTGGTTTGAATACATGAACTGAAGCAGAGAGAGAAGGAGAAGGGAAGCCAAGGAAAACAGAGGCAAGGCAAGGAGAGAGAAAGTAAATGGATGGTGTTTTAGAGAGGACCAGTGACTGTGGTCCACTTCTCTCCTCTCTCGCTTAATTTCTCATTGACCACCCTTGTCCTGGGTGATTAGAAAGTTCAGCAACAAATCACATCCAACAAACAGAACAGAGAGGGTTAGATCCACTTGTCAAATTGAATATGTTGTAGGATTACTCAAACTAAAATACATGATCCATGTTGGAAAAGTAATGCTATTCGTGATAACTACACTTTTCTTTCTTTTTCCAACATCTAACTGACTCAGATGTCTTCAATGTCACATTCCCCCACCAGTAGGTGTACATTGCATTAACGTTCTGGCAAAAAATCCCAATCAACTAACAGCAGACAAATCTAAAGCAGATCTACTCCAAAATACACAATCATGTTTTGAGGTTTTAAGTAATAAGCTTCAGGTTTCAAGCCGCACCACTGAGTTTTTAAAGTAACTTTGACAATAATCAGGGCAGACATGATGTACACTGTGATGGATTGCCTGACTCCAACAGGTTTCAAGTCTCTCCAAGTTGAATTTCATAACATACAGAATGAATGAAACCACTGGCTGTCTGAAAGGAAGGAAAACATTTTTACCAAATCAAAAACACTGTGGTAAGCTTTGGAAAAAGGTCAACACTAAGGTAAAGTATATGTGGTGTAGTGAATAAAAAATTGGCAGAAACAGGTATGGTTCTTTAAAGACTCCGGCAAGATGAGAGGAGGAGGATTCTGTTTTACATTGATGATACTTGGTGCTCAAACACAGTCAAGAATGACACGGTTTCCCAAATGTCAGGCTTTTTAATGTGAAGATGTTGCTGCTGTTTACATTCACCCCAGACACAAAATCAAAAAATGCACTACAGAATGTTCAGGGTGTATGTATTTATAAATAATTGTATATATTGTTTTATTTTATATTATTTTATATGTTACCCTATTTTCATAAACATTTAATTATTGGTAAAGTTCTGTGTGTGTAGCATGAAGGGACTACAAACTTCGTTTTGTTAAACAATCTTGTGCCTTGAAAAGACTGTTTTCTTCCTGTATACTCGTCATGGAAATATACATTCAGCACTGCTGTTTCTTTCACTATAAATCCAAATGATGACCAGAGTCAAACAAAAAACAAACAAAAAACTCAAGTGAAACTGGGGGCTTTGATTCAATTCAATCATTATAGATATAAATAATAATAAATAATCTTAACACAGCAATGTTTGCTCAAATGTTATTGAGACACCTCACTCTGTTATTGTGCAACCAAATTCACACAAGTACATGAAATATAGAAGTGCGATTTGAATCACTACCTGTGGAGCTTCTAACACTAGACTTACGTTAAAACGTTTCGTGGATCAATACCCACTAGTGTTAAGACTGTATCTGTATCAGCTCTGATTGAGCTCTAGATTAGATTTAATTTACACAGGGTCTGGACAGCTGAACCAAAAAAACAAATATATGCAGAGGAGCTCTAATGAACATAGAAATTTAGGCTAACCCATTTTACTCTATTTCTCCGTTGATACTGTATGTTCAGCAAGCAAAGTCTTTGCCAGGATTATGGGTAATGGACACTATTAAAGTTTTGAAAAAATGGATGTTTCCACTCGCACTCGGTTTGTCCACTTATTAAAAGTGTGTTGAATCAGGCTGCTGTGAGGAATGTAAGATAAAAGAAGGAACTCTAGTCCTTATGGTGTTAATGATGGGTGGGGAAAAAGAGAGAGGGTGAGGAAATATAAGCAGTGCAATAAAGTCTAAGACACTAGCAGGGAAAAGACAACAGAGAAAGAGATGAAGGAGATTAAAACACGATGACAAGATGACAGACAGAGAGGAGAGGTGGAAGTAGAGAAGAAGGAATAGGAGGTTGAAATGGAGGAAGAGGAAGGGAGTGGAGGTCATGAAAAGCTGGAAAAGGCCTGGGGAAACATTTTTCCATCTCAAATTCAGCATTGCCATTTACTAGTCACCACTGTTGCATGTGTGGTTATAAATCTCGTCTTGTTCCACTCCACCTCTGTACATTCCAAAGTTGTCGCCACCAGGTTACACCCTCAATAAAGAGATTTACCTTCAGACTTTCAGCTGTATAATGTTAAATATCTAATTACAGAGACACACATGACATAACAGAAAAAAACATAATTGTGTTGAATTATCACTAATAAATGAACCTGTCCACGTCGTATCAGTAAATGTAAAATCCCTACTGTATTGCCCAAAGACCAGATATGAATGCGCAAACCACATTTGCCCAAAATCTTTATGCCTGTTTGATTTGAACTTTATTGGCATCCTATTTTTTCTTTGCTGTATTGTATTGCTAATTGTGGCTGCACATGAGCCTCAGGAATCAATTAATGTTGTGTCAAGGAACAGCAGAAGGTAGTAAATATTAAAATTTAGCTTAAATTGAAACTGAGACCAATGGCTTTAAATTTGTATTTCTTTAGGGAGCCAGGGGAACGAAAAGGTGAATAAACACACTTTGAGATAGTCTAGGCTTTAAATTAATTAGATAAGGTCACATAGATTTGTATGAACTGAAAACAAGATAGGATAATGTACTTATGTTAGAGGTATATTCTTTTGTTGCGTTGATTTGCATAACGAAAATCCTTTTTTTCCCTTTTTTCTCTTTTTGCCTTGCAAGTTTGTGATTAAATGAACGTGAGAGGCTTTGCTGGTGTGGAAATGTTGCTACAGGTGCCAGTAAGAAAATGAAATAGGATCCAGGAAGTCCACTTAAGAGTAAAACATGCATGAGTTCATGAAATCCCAGGCTTATCAGACGGCTGTGATTCATTTTCATATTTTCTGATCAGCATGAACGGACACACAATGTTCACAATTTCCAACTGACTCAAATGTATTCTTTATCTGCTAAATGTGCATCCTCAATCTCGTCACAGGAAGGAGGAGTTTGAACGCTGGATCATATTTTGTCAGCATCACCGTGGCAATAAATAAACACAGGCATCATTCGCCTACGTCAAACGTCACAGTTTGAGTCAGGTTTGATGACATGAAGGATGACAAGACACGGTGGAAAGACACGCAGCAGACTGTTGGTGTCTGAGGAGGCATTTTAGTGAGACTGAAGCCAGAGAGTGACTAACTGACTAAACACCATTTCTCAGTTACAGTAAACTGAGGTTACTGTGTTTGTCTTATAGATTCTTCATTTCATTCACTGCTTGTTCTGAACTTCAGTCTTCTGTAATCTGCAGCTGGGGATGTTTAAGTTTTTAAGAGCGTAGATACCTGAATCCACAGATACGTCATTTACTGTGACATGTGACCCCAGACATAACTCCTAATAGTTGCTCGCACTGCTGGCGATGTGGGAAATAAAGCTTTGTCAACTGTTAAACACACTTAAAATCACAATTCAGCACCGCTGCTGCTACTTGTTAAAGCTGCTGTACCTCCACTGCACTTCTGTCTCAGAGGACTCTCATTCAAATTATCTGGAATCTGCATGTGTGTGTGTGTGTGTGTGTGTGTGTGAGTGAGAGAGAGAGAGAAGGGGGAGAGAGAGACCACAGGGTTTATTTGAGCAGAGGATCACTGTATAGGATCAGGTTCTTACCACAGCTGCAGTGATGTCAGCCGTGTGTGTGTGGGTGCGTGTACTTCTGTGATGTGTGTGTGCGTCAGGATACTGCATGCACTACACACATGCTCATACCTTGTGTTTGTGTGTTTGTGTCTTTTTATCATTTCCACTGTGATACACACAGTCACAGCAATCCCTAGTCTTCAACAAATCATGTTCATATGCAGCTATTCTGCATTAGTGACTTGCATTAAATGGCCCCACTGAGAGCCAGAAAGTCCAGGTGTGGATTTCTGGATGACTGATAATGGATAAATGTTATCCTTTGACGCACGGCGACCACAGTTCACGTCTTTGTCTTGAAGTATATTAGTAATCTGACATTTCTATTATGTAATAATGATCAAAATCTTTTCCTAAACTAAACGTGAATAGCGCTGTAGTGTTGACACAATACTTAAGTTTCCAAAAATTATACATGTGTATGAATCACAATAAGGAAAAGCTAATTGATGCCATTTTTAATGCTATAGCGTAATGATTGCTTGTATCAAATGCATTAGAGTGAGCCAACAGTAAGCTTTTGGTCATCACCAAACTCTCAAAATGCTATATAGAAGGGAACTGTTACCCCGGACTCACAGAGGTGGCGTGTGCGCCGCGTTACAGCTGCGTAGGTGTGCTGATGGCGCAGTTGATAAGGCTCATGCCTTTGATGGGGGAGACCTGTGCTCGATTCCCACTGTGACACATTCACCAATGTGTTCCTAAGTTGATATAACAATTGTAAGTCGCTTTGCAGCTAAGCGTCAGCTACGGTAAATTATTAATTAATTATTTAACTCGTAAGTCCTTGTTGGTTTTTTGCTGACAGAGGTACATGAGACTAGGGCTGTCACAATAACCACAAAACTGGTCAAGCCTACCGCGGAGGATGGCAAGCCCCGCAGCAACCGCAATGTTCATACTTTACATTTCAGGGTGTTTTTAATTAATAAATTTGTGTTTCAAAAATTCCACAACCGTAACGAGCTCTGTAACGGTTCAAGGACGTATCGCCATGAGCTGTACATGACCTGACTTCAAACTTGGAAGCTGTAAGTGTTGCCGTGTTTTGTGCTGTTTTACTGTTTATATTAAAGGTTAGCTAGCAGGCTCGGCGATGTTGGACTAACCTTGTAATCCTGAGGGACGGTCAGTAGAAACTGTGAAGGTAAGCCTCATTTGAAGCTCATTAACTAACCAGCGTACTGTGTCAGATGCCTGCAGCTGTTTTTCATGTTGCTTTCTGTGGAAATTTAATTATAACGTTACAACAGTGCAGTGGTTAGTTGTGGACAGCTCATTCTGCTCCGCACCTGTGTGTGTGTGTGTGTGTGTGTGTGTGTGTGTTGGCTGTGGTATGTAAATAGACTTGATAGACGTACCCTGAAGGTAACCATATAGCTAACGTTACGTGTGAAAAATACACTACAAACTACAAAAATGAGTTTGCTTGGCAATGTTGTTGACTAGCACCCAGCAGCTAGCTTGCTCCGACCATAAAGCTGCTGTTAGCGGCTCGTTGTGCAGTGAAGGGAGATCCACAGACACTCTTACTATGCGATAATACTACACATATTACCGCAGGGGAAATTACTTCACCGCAACAGCCCTACATGAGACGGGCTTATCATGTTCGATACCATGACACTCATATCGACGAGTGGCAAAAGAGGCATGATAACAAACAGTGGGGAATAACTTTAGAGGGGGGATATTGATGTACTAGCATGTCATCATGCTGTTAGACGTTGTCGCAGCTACCTCTGAATCCTGGGGCACTCTGGAGAGGCATTTGTGAAGACGAGTCGAAGTGAAAAGGGAACAGGGTTTGGCGAGACTCTCGCCGTGGAATGTAAGCCCTACGCAGGATGAGGTTTCGCAGGTCATCTGGTGTCTACTGTTCCAATGGGAACTTTTGGTTTGGTGAGTGGGACTTAGCAGAGTGATAGGAGCAGTGGAGATAGACACAGAAACAGTTAATGACATTGCTGCTACCAATAAGTAAACAGATTCAGAACTTTAATAAATTGGTTGTGGGTTGTATGATCACTACAAATATTTGGAGCTATATTTGACTTTCACCTTAATTGAACACACAGAGTCCTTTAAATACTCCCTCATAGGCTAGTATCCATTCCTTTGCCCCGTTCATTTACTTTAAAACCAACAACTTTCCACATAGCACTCCTACTGTTAGTCGTATCAACCAACACCGGCCCCAAAGGCTCTGCAGTAATTTTTATCTTTCTGTCTGACACATGGAATAAAAAGCTTTTACTTTGGCAGTTTATGTTTCCCCAGAAATGTGCTGCATAATTGCTGCACGAGTATGTGTTTGTATTACTGCAGGGTCTCAAAGCTCACTGTAGATTACAGGACATCCTATCTCTATGAAACCACACAAACTCAGATGCGCTAAAACAAACACTGGCTGACTACTAGAAACACTACTGCTGTGTGTGTGTGTGTGTGTGTGTGTGTGTGTGTGTGTGTGTGTGTGTGTTTCTGCACTGAAACATGCAAGTCAATGCTGTATGCCTGTTATGTGTGTATGTGAAACAGATATTTCTGTGTAAACTGCCCTGAGTATAAAAGGCAAGGCAAGTTTATTTGAATAGCACATTTCAACAACAAGGTAATTCAAAGTGCTTTACATAAAACATAAAAGCAACAGGGAAATATAAAAAAGTTAACAGTTAAATGATTTGATTCCCCATCTCCCATTCTATCCCCCCTTTAGTTACTTAGGGACTCTAATCCTAAGGGGACTCTAACCCTTCTTTAGATACAGTCGTCACTGTAAATCCAAAAAGGATAAAAATGGATATTTACTTATTCTATACAGTGAGGAAGTGTGTGTGTGTACAAGTGTGAGTGTGTGTACAGACTCTTGCCAAGTATCACGTTACAGGAACATAAACAGTAGGCAGCGGCCTCTTCCTGCATATATAGTAATGTGTGTGTGTGTGTGTGTGTGTGCGCACACGTGTTGGAATGCATAAAGTGCAGTTTTGATTATGTGTGCGTTTCTGTGTGTGTGAGAGAAAATTTAAATGTATGTCCTAAAATACAGCAAATGGTGTCCAGCTTAATATTTGTACATCTGCAGTACAATGTGTGTCATTTTAATAAAGTGCGTGTGTGTGTGTTTCTACTTGCTCTAGTCTATCCAACACTCCAAACACTTACCTTTGGGATTAAGCTCTGCAAAGAGGAAGAGGAGAAGAATTAAAGGTTAAAAAAGAAAATTCAGACAGATCACAGAAACAGCAGAGGTATCGCTCCTCGTATCTAGCTTTATTCAGTGCAGACCATTAACAAAGCTGCACTGGAAGAACACAACTGCTGTTCAAAGAGGAGGGGGATTCCCTGGGAAAACCTCCACCTCCCTGCATATGGATACACACAAACTTAAAGAAACACTCTGGGAGTGCTTTGTTCACCTTCCCACACACTTGGAAAGTACCGCTGGAGGAGAGCACAGCGTCCTGACTGAGCCAAAACAGTCCAGAAGACGATAAGATGTCCAAATCCAAAATTAAATCGCTGCTCGTCAAGGGGTTAGCATGAAAATTGGTCTGACAGAATCTGGAGCTAAAGATGTCTATTCTTATAAAATTGCCAGTATCAACAGTCCAACTAATTTAACAGAACAAATGATTTCTCCAGTATTACCCCGTGCCATTTAACCAAAACTACCATGTTCCAAAGACCAGTTTAGATGTGTAAATGTATAAATGCTCATTTCATTTTAGACCATCTAAGGAAAAATACCAATATTTGTGAGCATCAGGCTAAAAATAATCTGGGCTGCCACACGGTTGTAGTGGTCCTGCTGCACTCACTTGTAAGTGCTTGGACAATGCAAATGGAAATAGATTTATGGAAAGGTTTTGTTAAATTAAAAAAGCTTTAATCTTCTATTTGGGGGGCTGTCAGCAATCTACCAAACTAAGCAGCAACGTTGAGAAAGGGCAAACACTGAACAACGAAAATGGGACACTGCTTGCGAAACAGAATTTTCTTTATCCCAGCTCCTCACTGCCAGATTTTCCCAGCTGCTCTGGGATCTAAAGAGTCAGCCTCCTGCTCTTCTAACCTTTAGGCCGCAGCCACAGAAGTCTGGCAGATTAAGCACTGATTTGATTGGTAGAAGAGGATTTCCTGCGAAGGTGAATGAAAAGCAGATGGCAGGTTGCAGGCCAATGAAAAGGCACTGAGGTGCTGAGTCAGAAAGTTCACACAATATTAAAAGCGATGAAAGTCACGCTTCCTTACAGCTGTCTCTCTTTCCTGCAGTAACTCTCTTACTCTCGTCATAATTATGTCTTTTATTTAAATATTCTGATCTCTGTAATTATCATTTCATGTCAATTATGTCACATTTATCTAATTAAAAATACAGAGAACTTAATAATACATGTCTCCCATTAAACTGGTTCAATCCCAAAACAGTATCACTAACCATTTCTCAAATTGATGTGCTTTTGAAGCCTAATTGGTGATTTATTGTGTTCCCTGAATTAATAAAAACAGATTTCTAGATTTCTGTGTAAGAAATGCTCCAATTTGCCACATACCAACATACCAAAACTATTATATGAATACGTTCATTTTTAGCAGTATTATCTAATCCTAAAATACACATTAGCTTCTGTCATTACTTTGTCTTGAACTCTTCTTACCGCTCAGCACCGCCAAAGAAAAGAAAGTAAAAGCTGAAGTGGAGGGGAGAAAATCTGAAGAAAAAAAAAAGGCTAGATCAACACGAAGAGGAAGGGAGGGAAAGAAAAAAAGAAAAGCGAGAAAGAACTAAAAGCATCAGTGCTGAGTGAAAGCTCCAGTTAAACGTAAAGGACATGTCAAATGGTGCAAGAAGGCACTCACAGCACACACACTCCTGGTAGCCACTCCTGGCCTGCAGCCAGCCAGTGTTCAATCAGTCTTTCCTGTTCTAAAATCT